CATTGTATGGCAGCGCCAAAGACGAATGAACCGTATTGGGGTATAGGATAGGGTTTATGTTTTGGGACGGTTTTGAGAGCCTACCTTCGGAGCCGACCTTGAGTTTTCGTGACCTGGAGATGTAATCGACCTTTAAGATATGTGTACTTTCAATTTTAAGTGATCTTGACCTTGAAATCGCGTGCTCTTGGAATTTTAGTGACCTTGACTGCGCGTCACACTGGAGTTATAGATGACCTTGACACTATGAACAACCTTGATAATATGAACGACCTTGAGGTAGACAAGGGATAACCTTGGACCTCTGAATACTTTGTTCGGAGGCGAAACATTTTTTGTGATTTGTTCAAAAGAATTGTAGAAGGTAAGATGCATCTAACAAACGTGTTCATGAGAAAGAAATCGGGTTTGACAATTTCTCGAATGCGATGTTTTCGCCTCCCCTGAAATGTACGTACTATAACAGGGGATGATTCGATTCAGCATAAAGGATAGTATTTGGAATCTAATATTTAATTATGCGTATGCTTAAAATGTGCTGTTGAAAAAGACCATAACTCATATTGATTTATGAAACGGCCTAGACTGGCTTCAATTCATTGGAAATTATTACGAACTCACTCATCTTCATTATGGTCTTTATTTCAACAAAGTAGGTCAATGCAGTCGTATTGCTACATTAAAATGAAGTATGATGATCATACGAGTTTCGAGTTTTGCAAACTGACCGCTCGTGGACATAACAATCATTTCGAATTTCTAGCTTGATATACGAGGATTGCCTAAACTGTGTGATAAAAGTAGGTCAACAGGTATCTAGCTCATAGTTTAACTAAATATTTGCCCCAAATTTCACCCCACGACACTCTCGAATTGTTCCACGATCGCATTCAAATTCAGTGTTTGAAATTACCTAACTATATCAATAATTATTAGCTGACAAAAGCCGACCCAGAAACCAGAGTATACTACTCGTATAATGCCCTCGTGGAACCATGAGGCACCTTCGTAGCATCGACGCTTAGGCAAACAAGTGCAGTTAGAATATCGGTAGCGTTCGCGGCGCATCGAGAGTGGTCGACACCCATCAAGAAGCATCTACCGCCATCTGGATAATTTCCATGAAAGCTCGATCCAGATCGAGAAAACGCGGGAGCGTGCTTCTCGAATTCATAGTCCATTTGACATGTTTATACGTTAGTAATAAATTAGTTCCTAGTTTCCCAATCAATTATTGCCGAACTTACTATGTATGGAGTGTGCTTGTGTTCTGGACCGTTCGCGACGCGATCGTGAATATTCGACATTAATCGGCGGCCATCTACACTACTTTCATGGAAGTTCACGACCTGGCCTGGAAAACGCTGGATTGCTTCTCGACTCGTTGCTAGGAACATAAATATCCGACCAAATGGCGGAATGAAGTAGTGACAGTCGACCTTACAGATAATTGAACCCGTGAACAGCGAACACGGAGTTAAGATGGAATGAGAGTCCAGTAGACATAATTTATTATACATTAGTTTCAAGTGTTATAAATAATTAATGTGCCAGTAATGGAGAATGCGGAATCTGAATTCGAGGGCCACATCTCTCAATTGGGCTTAGTCTCCGAGATATCCTAACATGAATGTGAAAAATAACATTTTAGCATGATGAAATATTTTTTCCAAAGAAAGCATCTCAAAGCACAAGCCTTGTCCTTTGAATTCGCTCATATGCCTTTATCTTTTGCTGAGATATGGCACGTCAAAATTTTCATTATTCTGAACTATATTTGATATGTATGTGCATCATGTGCATGACAAATTGTGGTTTGTATTATAATACACCAAAGATTTTATAACAATATTTTGTTTTCTTATGAAATGAGACCTGCCAACCCAAACTCAGTACTCACCTCAACACTAAATCCATAAAATATCTGAAACTCGCCCAAAGCACAAGCCCACAACCCACACTACTTATTAAGCTATAAAATATTTAACTTTTAGTGAATCTTAGTTTTGATTAAGACTTCTTAAGTTTATGTGGAAAATTTTCAAACGTATGTTTCCACTGGTCATTAAAGCACCTAATTGACTCATGTGAACTATATAATTTCTTTTTATTTTGTCAATCTCAAAATTAGTTATGTAATTGTCCATTTTTAAAAATGTATGTTTTTGGGAATGTTGCTTTACTTATTTACTTTTTTATTTATCAGTTTTTTTTCTTTAGAATCAAAAATCGATTGGATTAAGATATTCAAACTGCATATATTTATAAACCGGGCATTTATTATCTGTTGGTACATGGTCGGTGTTATAATTTTTTTATATTTCTGATTAAAATATATGCAATTTGCTCATCTATTTCCTTTAATGTTTCATTGGCGACTTTTATGATTCCCTCCACATCTGATGCACACTACATTTATATGAATTATGGTGAAATCTAAAACATTTGTTACATTGTGTGATTTGGTTATGATCATATTCATTTTGCCAATCTAATAATATTTTACCATTATTTTCATCTGTGACGTATCTATATGTTTTTCCATTCTGCAAATAATGTATAATTTTCTTAATTCTTTCTTATATAAGTAACTTTGATATCATTTTCTTGAATGAAATGATTTTGTCTAATAATACTTTCCTTGAGGCTTGCTTCAGTAGGTGGATCTTCACTTCTGTAGCCGACAATTGTGATTCTTGGTAGCTTCTTTTCTTGTTCCGTAACATTGTATTTTCTTGATAACTTTTTCTCGATTTTATTTTTCAGTGTAGTGAGGTATTTTTCTTCTAGTTTCAATTCGATTCCTCCTTTTTGTGTGTTTAACGTTGTCTACTTGTACTTTCAATTTCGATAGGTCAATCTTATTTTAATCTTTTTTTTCTTTCAAGTATTGTTTGTTCTTTAGTAGGATTCACGCATAGTGCCTTTATGGGGCTTGTTGTATGTCTTAGATCTGGCTGTTACTTGGCTAAATGATCATTGGTATGTGACATTTGATTCAACAGCTTCAATTCGATCTTCCATATTTTCGATATAATGCATTATATTAGTCTTTTGTTCGTAATCTTCTTGTAGACTCTTGTTTTCTTTTTCTAATTATAATACGTATTTTTCTTTTTCCAACAGTAAAAGATTGTTTTGACCAATTATTTTTTTTTTAGTTCCTTATTTTGTGTTTTAATTTGGTCGATCAAGTTGATTTCATTATGGCTGTTACACGTAGTTTGAATAACTTCATCCTCACTATCAGTTTGATTATTGTTCAGGGTTTTATTTTTTGTTTTTTTTTACTTCTGGTCATTGATTTCTTCTTGATATGTAAGTCTCTCAAGTCAGACCTTGTATTGTGATTAGCCTCGATTAGGTACAGCTTTCAATGACGAAGTTGCCACAAATGTCAGATTTATGTGAAAATGTAATGGCGGAAATGTACTTTCTTATGCAATATCGAAGCTCCCAACAGAATTACCAGTGTAGCGGTTCTTCACTATGCCAGGGAGTTCGACGATAGTATTTTAAAGGCTCTTGTTATAGTATTAATGGAAAAATCGACGTGCAGTGATTTTTAGAAGGTATATAGTATGTAGTATATATGTGTATGTGCATCTATTTATGTGTTTATATGGATATATATATATATATATATATATATATATATATATATATATATATGTATATGTAGATATATATATATATGTATATATATATAACTTGAGACCTGGACATTGTCGTCTAAACCAGTTAGGTGAAAAATTGAAGCTTCCGCCTTTTGTTGGGTACTTCGACAAAATTTTAGCAAGGAGGACTCTTTATACTTTTTTCATTCTCTCTAGCTTTCAATGGTCTTTGCAATCATCATCAGGAGAGTAGTATGTGAGGATGTTGCTAATTGTTGTTTACGTTCAGGATGAGGGAAACACCCAGTAACATGGTGAAAGCTGGATAAATGGTACAATGGTCAAAATTATATAAAATACACACAGCTGTATGACAAGAACAAGTTAAATCATCAAGTGGCTTAACGATGTAATGCTAACTTTCATTTTCTAAAAATTTTCTAAATATTTTTAATCTGTTTTTAACTGAATAAATGAAACCTATTCCTTTGAGGTGATAATGCTTAGCATAGATTATTCGTCGTCTGAATCTGCCTGGTTTTGCTTATCAGTATATGGCAAACTCTTGAAGTATTCATGATATGATGCAGTGATTGCACCTTTGCTGCAAAGATACTGTAGATCTATGTCATCTATTTTGTATTCAATTTTTTTTCTTCCTTTCTATGTCAAATAGATCTTTTTGTATGTCTGATCCTCGTAGTTCAGTTTAAACAACAGTACATTTGGAAAATCTGGATTTGTTTCGATAACTCTTATCTTATTAAAAAATGCCTTTTCATTTTCTTCATCTTTTTCCCAATTTATGCACGTCTTTCGCTCAAGATCTTTCAGGTCGAATATCATTTCTTGTCTAAGCTCAATGACATTGTATGGCTGGTTCCTTTTAGCTGTTCTAACAGCAGTAAACCATTGGTCTAGAGTTTAAATTGGTATATCTCTTGAAGCACGCTTTATAACACTGTACAGAGTCACCTTCACTCTGTGTATGTCCTTTCTCTAGACATGTGTGTTTTATTGTAATTTTATATTTTTGAGACAAGTGGTTATATAATGAGTACAAATATTTGTTCCGGTTTTGACCACTACAATTGTCTGATTAGAAGTAAAATACATTGGTTCCTTTTTTGAGCTGCTCAGTTATGTATTGAATTAGACACCTACCAATTTCTGATGCTCCTCTCTTTGCGATAGCCACATGTAGCAGTTACAGTTTTTACTAGCAAGATTAAATACTGTCAAGTTATATACTGACAACTTAAGTTTGTAATATGCAACCCTCACTGAGGACTTTGGTACTGGTAGTACTTGCTGTAAATCAAATACTGCTGAACAGTACACTCCCGAGTTATCGATAGCTATTTGTTTGTCTGCATTTTTTAGGTGCCTAGCAGTATTCTTGTTTTTGATACGTAAGTTGTACTCATCGACTAGAGCTGCTTTGTCTGCGGCGAATGAGGTGTCATATTTGTGGCAAATGTCACAGAGGTCTTTTTTGGGCTTGAGGAAAGATATATTGAATTCGGTAGTAAATATATGCCTATACATTGCTTCAGTGGCTAGCTCCGTTATATTATTATTCTGACAATATTCAATGTATAAAGAATACATTTTGCGCACATTAAGTGTTGGAGCCAAATACTGTCATGTGGTATTCTTTCTACAGTAAAAGCATCTATGTATATGGTTTCGAACAGTTTGCTTTGTTGCTTCATCAATCATTGAGTTTTTACATGCCTTACCTATTCTATCTGATGCAACTACACCTATGGTTCCAGTCTTATTTATCACAGTTTTAACCACCTGCGCACTCACAGAAAGTGTGTTCAGAAAGAATTGCTTACACACCTTTGTCCTGATGCCCTTGAGGGGAAGCTGGTAGACTATAGTATATTGGCGTTTTTATCTGCTTCAACAACTTCCTCATTCTCATTCTCGTTATTCCTCCTCCTCTTTCTAACCCTAGCCTTCTTCACGACTCGAATTCTCGTTGTCTATTAACGTCTGCTTTGTGGTAACTCAAAGTCTGGATCTGCGATGTCGTCATCAGTTGCAAATGGATCAGTATCTGAAGATAGATAGAGATCATCGAATATGTCATGGTAATTCGATCGTGAATCATCTTGATGAAGGAGTACGTCCTTGAGTCCGACCAATGAAGCATTTATCAGCAGCACCAAAGATGGATGTTTGGTAGAGTCGCACAAAATCTGGAGGCTGCAAATCTACAGCACTCATCAATTGTTCAGCACATGTTGGTTCACTGCGTTGTAAGCTTCCAGCGCTAACAGCATCTTGCAAGTTGATATCTGAAAAAATATCAGGTATTACTTTTGCTGGAAGTACATAGTATATATAAAAAACAGCTATATACCTACTGCTAGAGAAATTTAAAACTTGGACAGAGATGCACTAGCGTCTAAGTCAACGCCTATTAAAAGAGCATGTAATAAGTGAAATAATAACCTGCATAGTTAACCAGGTGTGCTTCTAACTATGCAGGCCATTTTTATTACACTTGGTTCTTGGGTCTTGGTTCTTAACCCATTTATAAAACATCAGTTATCCAGATTTTTAATATTTTTCTACCTGTATATGTAACTTTATCGCTAAATTATCAGATCTGCATCAGTGCTCTCCTCATGGCAAACTTACTACCAATATGACAATGGGAACCACTGTAAATAAGATATTTTCACCACAGAATTCACTTGAAACATTACACAACAAACAACATTTTCTTAAAGTTTTAATGAAACATTTTATCCAAGATTAACATTATTTGTTAACCTTAAGGTCTGAGCAAGCCTGACGCTTACGACAAAACTGCTAAAATCAAAATAACTTCATTACGTTCCTTAAAATATTGAAAATATTCTTTACTTACCGTTCGTCAATGTTTTGTCCAAAAGTCCTAATATTTTGCGACCTCTTGAACCCATTTTGAGTCAAATCGGCCTACATAGGTAATTTCAATTTGTTGATGATGTGATGCCTGAGCACAATCATTCGCGGAACATAACCTGTACCAAAGACGTCAGTACTCGTCGACTGACCAGCGTGAGCTAGTCTGTGCCTGCGCATTAAATTCTCATCAAGGTTGATTTTGCCCTCGGAATCGATGCCGAACTATCTTATGTCCTATTCACAGTATTGTATGTTTTGTAAAGTCACGTCAGACCTATTCTATGTCCAGAACTAAAAAAACAGAAAATGTGTAAGGCTGAAGAAGCATATGTCACTTAAATAAATGGACTAATTAATATAAAAACACCCATATTAGAGCTTAGATTACTCTGCACTGATTGCGCGATGCCTCAATCTATGGTTTGCTACAGAAATCACAAAATGTCCAAAAATGGGCATAGACTAGTTCTGAATTTATGCGACGAAATATAAATAAATTCGACATCACTTTAAACAAACTAGAATATTTTCAAATATTACAATGTCTGCACCAACAGAGCCTCCACATATACATTATACAACATAAAATAATTGCACATCAAGCCTATGTTAAACATATGATTGGTATAAATGATTGACCGGGATATGGCTGCATAAATGACTTTTTAAAGGTATTCCTATTCCGTCACGTTAACAGTGACTCCCCTATACAGAGTGTTTCATTGGGAACGAAAAGTATCATAACCATGGAATGGGTTACTCAGAACCTTTGTGTCAAAGTATGTCAGTCAGTTTGTTATTCTGTCGGCCTAGTCCCGCAGAAAATGCTCGAGCATTTCTCTTGGTCACCATAATTGATCCACTTCACAGCTATTACACCAACAACGGCAACATTCGAATACGAAGCCGTTGCGAAAATAACAAATAAAGATAATTTATAGTTATTGTCCAGCTTTCACTACGATGAGTAGTGTACAAAAATCGTTTCAACCACCTTCCAGCCCAGAAACCATTCTGGAATCATGACCAGTCAGCGCATGCGTATAAAAGCATACCAAATGATAACAGCATGGTTCTGGTATGATACAGAGACTCAAGGTTAGAACAAATCTTCAGAATAATTTATGGAAACATACATAACGAATAATGAAAAGCACGTTTTCTCAGTGTACAAGAAACATTGCGTTCCAAGTTCCACCCACCGCAAGGTGGTCGAATTAGATATAAGTTTCTCGTGAGTCTGTCCAAAGTTCAATATGACGTCCGTTTCGGTGCTGTATATATATATATATATATCCATTAGCAATCGAACCTTATCCGTATGTGCGGTTAGAGGTTTATTGGCTGGCCAGGTTCTTGTTTGCCGGGGCAGCGGTTAGGAAATTGGGCCGAGAAGGATCCCGGAAGAGTAACGAAGAAAGAAACATGTGCTATCCTTTCCAGTAGAGAATCACTTACAGGAAATATACTAAGTGACATATAAATCCGAACACCCAGTTTAAATGGTTTTATTTTAATAAAAGTCGGTGAATGTATTTATCTTACTGTAAATAACAAGTGAAAAAATTTTGAGCCTAATCAGTTGGACATTCCGGTTTTTATACTGTTTTTTTTTAATTCACTAACGCTCTAAAAATGGAAATTTCAGCCGCAGTAAAGAATCAACGTTGGCGGATTTTGGTTCTTGACATCCTTTACGATCGGTTACGATGCCTAGAGTACGGAGATCTGCACGATTTCGTCAACTTAGTGAGTTTGACAGTGGCCGTATAGTGGGACTTCGGGAAGCTGGACTTTCTTTTCGGGCAATTGCAGTTAGAGTGCAAAGAAGTGTAGACACTGTGGTTAGGTGTTTTCAGGCATGGCTTCGAGAAGGCCGTACGCAAAGAGCAAGGGGCACTGGACGCCGCCGTAGAACAACAGACCGTGAAGATCGCCGCCTAAGATTATTGGCCTTAAGGGACCGTTTCTCCACTACCAGGTCCATTGCAAATGAATGGTTTGCAGAACACGGAAGACCTATTGGCATGCGAAGTGTTTACCGACGAATGAGAAGTTTTGGCTTGTTTTCATACCGGCCACACTGGGTCCTCCCTTTAACTCGAGAACACCGACGTAATCGCCTTGAGTGGTGCAGACAACGGTCACTCTGGGATCAGGAATGGAACAGTATTGTCTTTAGCGACGAGTCTCGATTTTGTTTAGGCATGCACGATGGTCGTGCCAGGGTTAGAAGGCGTCGTGGTGAAAGGAGGAATCCACAGTTTTTTGTTGAAAGACATGTTCATCACACTGTTGGAGTTATGGTTTGGGGTACTATAGCTTATGGTTCCAGGTCACGTTTAATCTTCATCAGAGGTAACATGAACGCGCAGCGTTATATCCACGAAGTTCTAGAACCCCATCTTTTACCCTATCTTGACACCCTGGCAGATCCAACTTTCCAACAAGATAATGCCCGACCACATGTTGCAAGAGTCACAATAGACTTCTTTCAACATAATGATGTCACATTGTTACCATGGCCACCAAGATCTCCCGACTTATCCCCAATTGAGCACGTGTGGGATATGATGGGTAGGAGATTGCTCAATTTGCAACGTCCTCCTCAGACTCTAGAAGCACTTCGAGAGGAGTTGGTGGTTGCCTGGAATGAGATACCACAGGAGGACATTGACCACCTGATCAGAAGCATGCCTAGGCGCGTTGGATAATGCGTAGCACATCAGGGTGCATCCACACATTATTAAAGGTCAAAGGGCTTTAAAGCAGTGCAATCATTTTGAATTTTTTATCATTTACTTATTATGCTTCATTAAGTACTTATACAAAATTTTATTAAAATAAAACCATTTAAACTGGGTGTTCGGATTTATATGTCACTTAGTATATGTTGGCGTTTGGTTTGGACTTCAATATCACCCAGCTTTAACTGAGAATAAAAAGCTTCTTCTCTAAACATGTTGTTCTTCCCGACAACCAATGGAACATGACCGCAAAGAAAAACAAAACTTGAACATAATGAAGCCCGCTTTTGGGTTTGTTCCAGTTTTGTTTTTGTTTTTCAGGTTCTAGAAGATACAAGCACAACATAAACTCAACTGCCCGTTTAGTGGAAAACCGCCTTTAGAAAACAAATCTATGTCCAGACATTGATCACCTCTCACTGCGCCAGCAACACCAATGAAATCGTCCCTAACTACTGGGTATTTTAGAAACCTAGTGAAATTTCATGTAATTATAGGCCTATTGAATTAGATTAATTGCATCTGATGTGCAATTATCATTTATGGGGCTATAGAAACGTTTTCCCCTTCTGTTGAAGCTGACCGAGTGAGTCTCTTCGTATGATATACAGGGTGACTGAACGCAACCTGAAATAACCAAGAACATTGAAGTAGGAACAAAGGGTAGTTCTGTCAAGAGAAGGGACTTCGCAAGCTTTTGGTTACATTATTTTATAACCGTCCTTTCTATACTCACCCAGAAAATATGGTACATTTTGAATGAACTTGCCTGATTAATGGAGGGGTGAGGCTGAAGCAGCCTAGGCTTGAAGATCTCAAAGGGTAGGTCCAACCGCAGATATGGGCCAGAGATAAGGGACCATAGTCAAGGCAAGGGTCCAAAATGAGGACATATTGTCGTCCATAAGTCCATGAAGTGGCTCATCTTATTTTTTCCAATTTTACAGGAGAGTATTTTAAATATTTTTACGAGATTTGAGATGTTGCTAAGAAAAAGGTATTATTGCTACATAATTGAATTTGTGGGTATATCTGCTCATGTTTACAAGCTTTTTGAAAATGAGCAACGGCTAACCCATTTTTCATTTTAGGTGTTCAAAATTTCCAAAAAACGTAGATACGTCATTTTGTGAACTTGATGGGTCGTAATTCATATAATAATGACTTAGTTACGTCCGTGTTATACAAAAGTGATGAAAAATAAAAACACATGAAATTTAAAAGCAATGTTTTATTACAAGACAAAATTGTTACAAAAAGGAGAATATTATGGCGACATAAGTATCCGCAGCATCTAAATTTATTTAACTCCGTATAAAAGTATAAATATGGCAGCACTAACAAAAGATTCACTCAAATAATAATGATGTAATAATATCCGTTAAAGATGAACAAAATAATAATTAGTATTTCGTATATTACTCATGAGGAAGATGTAAGTAGAATGTTTGGTATTCTGGTAAACGAACTACCGGTTTATCTCAACTTTGCGCCGTTGTGACCGTAAATAGAAAAAATATTACTTATAACCTCCTGGGGTCATTTAAAAGAAATTGATTCCTGTGTAAAACCTTGTACTGATTCCGAATCTGCTGTCAAAAATGATGAATGTATTTAAGAAGTTTATATACAAATGGTCATATCAGAGGTCACCAAAAAAATGTATAGTTGCCAAGACCCCAGAGTGTTCGTGTACTTTTAAAATCCTGGTTTACCACTTGATACTGTCTGACCTCACGTATGAAAAATAGTTCCGATGCAGAAACTCGGTTATGTTATGTTGCTGTCAATTAACACTTTATTAATTGATATAATGTATTGTATTCCTTTTTACTAGCTCATCACTTTTGGTTTATATTAACGATTGTATCTTAATTATGAGTCAGTCATTCAATCTCGGTCACAGCGAACACACATACACTGTAATTCTAGTTCGGTCCATGTAAACTATTGTTGGAACCAAATAAAGTTTTTTAAAAACGAAGTTTGAAGTTCCGACTACATAATTGGCGCAGCCCGCAGTAGCATAACCAAAGGGATTTTCGCCGATCCTTGAGCCCTTGAGTCCAAACTTTTAATTGGGAATCAAGAACCTCCGTGACGAGCCGGTACGACTGAAGAAAGAAGAAAGAATTTGGACCACAAGTGCCCTTTGTCCTGTTGAAGTCGACGTCCACCTGAGGAACCTAGGCCAAGAACGGGATGAAGTACTGGACCCATCAGCAAGTGCTCATTGTATCCGTATTTTTTCATGAGTGATTCACCCCGACCAGTACATCCTTTCGAAGGTGATAGTGCAGATCAAATCGCTAATCGCAAAGCAAGCTTAGAATTAGAAAGTATAGAAATAAGACAAGCAAACGAAACTATATAAAAGATAATAATGACGACCCCCAGTAGAAATAGTGCCCCCCAGTTCGACATAATTCGACATTTTCTCGAAATTACCTGGTGCTGCAGAGCAAGTATTGTCTCTTAGCAGTTCCACAGACTGGAACAGCATCAAAAACTTGCTAATTGCTCATTTTGGTGATCAAAGAAACAACAGTAGTCTTATCTCAGATATGACTGCCGTTAGACAAAATTCTAGTGAAAGCTCTTTACAGTTTTATTCTAGAGTTGTAACCATGAAACAGTTGATGCTATTAAAACTAGTAAAAAGGCACTGTATGATAGTCATGCATTGCATGCACTTTTAGTAGGTTCAAAGGAGCCACAAAGTTCCATGATTCGGTCGATGAAACCTAAAAATTTGGCAGAAGCTCAAGCTTATATTTTAGAATATAACAACATTAGATATTTACAAAAGGCTGGTGCACATTCAAATTTCAATAATCCACGTCAGCCTGCCCTTCCATCCAAACCACATTTTCAAAATTTGTTTAAGCCTCAAATGCAGCCTATGAATCAATTTAGGCCTCAGCAAAATTTCAATTATCAGCCTCAATCCCCAAGAGGACCAGTTCCGATTCAACCTAGACGAAATCCTCTTCCACAAAAATTTACAACAAACGCACAAGTTTTTGGCAATAGACCTAATGTTAATGTTTGGCGTAATCCGCGTAATCAAGGACCTTCCTACAGGCCTACTCATATGAGTGGTGTTAGTAGCATCAATAGAAATAAAAATTTCCAAAATAATAATTTTAGGCCTTCTGGCCCAAAGAACTTTGCTTCTCAAGAATTACATAACGTTGAGGGTGATCATTATGATAAAAATTTTGGAAACAACCCTTACGATGACTATTACTCGGAATATTGTCAGGATAGTGAAAATCAGTATGACTGTTCTGATCTATATTACGAAAACCCCGATGAGACACAAAATGATGTTTCTGAAACTGGTCCAAGGCCTGATGAAAAACAAAATTTTCAGATGGCCCTGCCCTTGATAGAGGAGACATATTATACTTAAACATGATTTGTGACAAAACAGAGTTAGTTACCTTATATTGAAATTAAAAATCCGCCTTTAAAGCTTCTTATTGATACCGGTGCAACGAAATCACTTTTAAATCCTGATCTTGCACAATTGTATTTTCCAAAATGTATTTATAGAGAACCATTCGAAGTAACTTCAGTTTTTCAGCATTCGAAGAGAGACTATTGTGCTAAAATTCCTGCCTTCTCAGAACTCAATGTTAGTGAGCCTATAAAATTTCATTTGTTCAAATTTCACAAGTATTTTGATGGTCTGATTGGTTTAGATATTTTGAAACTTCTAAATTCACATATTGACCTTAGAAATTCTATTTTGCATACCAAAAACGCCAAAATTCCAATCAAACACGGCGGCCCAAGCCAAAATTCCTGTCGATACTTATAATGGAGAAATTTTGATTCCAAATTCCAAAATTGGAGATTGTGTAATCAAGGAAACGCTTACTCATGCTGTAAACGGTTATGCCGTAGTTGACCTAGAAAATCCTAGTAACACTTATCAAGAAATTTCCTATTGTTTCATTTCCGTTCGACGCAAACAATTACGCTTTATTCCACGCTATCATTAAACAATCTGAATCAGTTTCGCCGTTGCGACATGATATCAGTAAACTGATACGAACATCTCATCTCAATAATGAAGAAAAGACTCATATTCTAAAATTGTGTCAAACCTATTCCGACGTATTCTTTTACGAGGGTGATGCGTTAACTTTCACAAACCAAATTAAGCATCATATTAGGATCACAGATGAAATTCCTGTTCATACAAAATCGTATCGTTATCCACACATGCTCAAAAACGAAATGCAAAGCCAAATTAGATCCCTTCTAGATCAGAATATTATTCGACATACTAGCCCAGCTTGGAATTTTCCAGTTTTTCTCATTCCCAAAAAACCTGATGTTAGTGGTAAAAAGAAATGGCGTATGGTGGTTGACTATCGAAAGGTTAACGAAAAGACCATGGATGATCGCTACCCCATTCCATGTAACACATTTTAGACAAATTAGGTCGTTGTAATTATTTCACAACTCTGGATTTAGCTAGCAGTTCCCACCAGATTGAAATAGCCCCGGAAAATATTCAAAAAACAGCATTTAGTATTGATGGAGGTCATTACGAATATCTTCGTATGAGTTTTGGTCTTAAAGGAGCACCAAGCACGTTTCAGCGTATCATGGACAACGTCTTGCGAGGACTAGATAACACTATGGTGTATATGGATGACATCATAATTTATTCTACTTCTTTACAAGAACACATTGTATCATTGAAAAAGGTTTTCCAAAGATTAAGGGAGACAACAACATCAAAGTTCAATTAGACAAATCCGAATTTTTGAAAAAGGAAGCAGCTTTTCTTGGTCACATTGTCACATCGCAAGGAGTAAAACCAAACCCCGACAGAATTCAAGCCATTGTCAAATATCCATTGCCCAGAACCACCTGCGAAATTAAACAGTTTTTAGGTTTGATTGGTTATTATCGTAAGTTCATTAAGGACTTTGCAAAAATCACTCGCCCCTTCACCCTATGTTTGAAAAAAGGAGCAGAAATTAAACACGACGAAAAACTTCTCGAAGCTTTTGAACATTGTAAGAATCTCTTAACGAATGAACCATTACATACAATCCGGATTTTGAAAAGCCCTTCGTATTGACTAACGACGCAAGTAATTTTGCTGTATCAGCTATACTTTCTCAAGGCCCTATTGGCTCTGACAAACCAATAGCTTATGCATCTAGAACATTAAATGATTCTGCACAAAATTACAGTGCGACTGAAAAAGAATGTTTAGCAATAGTTTATGGAACTAAGTATTTTAGACATTATCTTTTTGGACGAAAATGTAAAATTGTAACAGACTGCAAACCGCTTCAGTGGTTAATGACTTTAAAAGAACC